AGCGTCGTGATGAAACGTGATGCATATATCGCAAATGTCGAGACTGACGTCAAATCTGAAGTGACGATGTTACGCGCAATCGAGATAGACTCTAGAGTTCATATTAGGGAAGAATCAGGAAAGAACGCGGCAGACTTTAATAATGTACAAACTGGCACAGACTATAACAACGATCTAACAGGCCATAGGAATTTTCAGGACAATCACGATCCCTCGTCGATAAAGAGATCCAGGCGAAAAGATTACGCGTTGGAAATCGCGTCCTCGAAATCGTCTCGCAAGTCGCAGAAGAAACTCTCGAGCACTAAGTCCAAGTTCGGAGTATGGACAGAAGATGCTCAGGATGACGGTGTGGACGCGAAGAATCATGGCAAAACGGGAAAAAGCAAGAACAAATCAACTAAGAGGAGAGATCGGCAAAGATCGGCGACGACCGATATCGGGGAGGCCGATGACGATTCGGGCATCCAGGGTGATATCTACGAGTTTAGCGAGAAGGAGAGTAATTTGGAGGACATTGGAATACTATCTATAATAAGACGCGGCAAACACGAGTCTCGTCATGCATCTTCCTCTACATCGCCTGTGTCAGAGATGCAGTGTAACGACGAGTACAGTAAAGCCGAGCCGCCGGTGTTGGTTCCGGAGGAACCGTGGCCTCCGATTGATTCGTCGGCTCGGAACGAGCATAGTGCGGATTCCAATAACAGTATTCAAGTGGAAGAGAACTGTGATGTCGAAGAGAGCTTGGAGAGGTAAATTATATTGATACGAATATACCTTTTTCTTCTTCTTGCCGTATAAAAATTTTATTTCTATCTATTTTTGAACCAATTTCCATATTACATATATGTTTTTTGCTTCGAAGTCAGTCAAAAGATAATAAAATGGAAAAATATTCTTTCAGATTAACAGCCTATGAAAACAACAGCAGTACGCAAAAATCAAGCTCGATCCAATCTTCCGAGTGTCAATGGCAAACGAGCAATTCGAGCGATTGTCGAGTTTGGCCTGTCACGCCGGAGAAACCCAGCCGTGGTCTCAAGCTGACGTTGCGCATGAAGCGGTCATGTCCGCTTCTGGAGGACAATGTTGAATCCGGCACTAGCCTGAGCGAGGACAGTTACGAGCCTGAATACGAGGTATTACGCGTCGAGGGGTTGGAGAGGCGCAAACGTCGGAAGAAACACAAGAGTAGAGACCGTGAGAGACGGCACAAGAAATCGCGCGAGCTGAACCTCGATCCGCCGCCGCCGCCCATGAAGAGATTACGCTTGATTCTCGGCAACGAGACACGCACTATTGATCTAACGCACTCTTAACAGCTATAATTCCTCCTTTTCCCATTCCTTCGACTCCTCCCCCCCCCCCCCCCCTCTCTCCCTCGTCACGACGCGCGTGTAATATCAATTTCGCACATTACGACAGACTATCTTTTGAAATATAATTAAAGGAAGATCACACATATACATACACCACTTCAGGAAATTTTAGGCCTCTTCGTCCTATGACACGCGACAGCAAGTTCATATCGTACTTGAAGATACTTTTCTCACGATTAAACTTGGTTTAGAAATAGAACTAGCATTACTGCATTTCCTTCCTATCTCTCATTCTCTCTCTTTATCTCTCTCTCTCTCTCTTGTAGTCCTTGTTATTTAAATCTTCTAGCAATATATGTCTTATTCTGGTAACAACGAATCTCTGAAGGCCTACCGAGATCTCGTAAACGGAAAAACTCGTAGGTGGGAGAAATTTTAGATTGCACACGCGTACATGTTTTTCCCTGCCTAGAATTAAATACGTACGAATCAAAAGGAAATAGTATGCAAATACTTATCCAATCGTCGTACAGTTCCACATAAATTAATGAAGCGCTCTATAGTACATTAAACGGATAATTCTACTTAATGATTCGATCGGCGTATTACTCTTTTTTCGAAATTTCCTACCTTTGACGAAGAAGAATATCGGATCAATATAATCTCCGGGGAAAAAATCTCTTCACATTCTTTTCTAGCTACTTTCTATAAAACAAACTGCTGTATATGAAACAAATTGTATCGATCTAATATTTTGCGAGATAAACATAATCAGATTAAATCTTACAAACTATATATCATTGGAATCGTTTCGGAAAGTAGTCCCCCGTTATTATATTCTTGCTACTTTCCACCTGCATGAGTGGTACACTCCGGAACGGAGACAAAGGACGAAGGAGGAGGATTCTTATACTTATACTATGTATAATAATAATCTAACTGATTAAAAAATTTAGCTAAATATTAGTTAGTTACTATTATTGTAATCGCTATTCTCGAACGAAGGGTCAAATATCATGAAGAACCTTGTAAATATTGCTTATACATATAATGATACATATACATATATATATATATACTAAAATTCTCTATCGTTAAATCCCCATTGGATGAAACTGCTGCAGTTACATTTTCGTGTCGGCCCAAGTTGAATTATGCATATACATATATATATACGAAGAATGAACGGTAATGGGTGACGTTTATTCGTTTAATGGCGTCTCATGTGCGTTTTCACGGTGCGTGCGCCTGTGTGCGTGTAGCTCTCGCAATCCTATTAACATCTCGCGGTTACTGGCGGCGGTGTAAATGCAATCGCGGTATAATTTAAGCGGATCAAGAACTTGGATTAGCAGGGACATAATGGACAATTCAATGACCAGGAAGCTATTAAGTCTGCTACCTTTAACGGCGGTATTATCGATGATTAATCAAGATTTAAACGTTCTATTAACGGGCTAAAATGTGACAATGTTCCTCTCTCGAATGTTGTAATAACGTAGTTTTGACGAATAAGATAAATCTTTTTCTTTTTTAACATATATATTTTTACAATGTAAACGTATATCATTATCTCGTTATTGCAATTGTAATCATAACATTCATCGATATTATACGTACGAGACGTACAAGAGTATTATCTTAGTGATAGTTATTTATGCAATTATCGTGTCAGAGTATCCTATAAAATTTTATATTATAATTACAGTTTGATAAGGCGTGTTTTTCAAACGTATAGAGACGCGATAACACAAGATTGGTTACTTACGCCTCATTTACCGAAGTTAATAACGATACGCAAAATGAAGTTATCGATGAGAAAGAGACATCCCTCCGCAAACTATGTATTAACAAGGGAAATTATTGGGTTTCGAGGCGGACAGACTGC